TTCCCAGTGTCCCCACTTTAATTACAATATTACCTAAACAGGTGCAGGCGCTGTGAAAGGAAGTCTATTCAGGAGCCACTCACCCTATCACGCTCGCTGCCCATCTCATTTGTTTGAATCTACGGCACAAGCATTCCGTGTTTTGTTTGTTGGGAAATTTGCACCTGCTAAGGGGGCTTCTTCACTTTTGAGGGGAAAAAATTGAAAATTGCCCTGGTCCATTCTTTTTTTTTTTTGCTGTTTTTCAAGGTAATGGCAGGCAATGGAATACAAAAACACTGTCTTTTTATTGAGCTTTTCAAACACAGAGAGCGAGAGCTTGTTAGAATTCATAATATTATTGGAAAAGTGTCCCCTGGTCAAAAGAAAGTCTTATCATTTCACCTTTGATATATTCTTGAGAGGCTGGAGTTGCCATTACAAGGTGCTGTCCAAGGTGCTGAAATCAGCTACCCATAGCGGTACTGTATTACTAGGACAAGATTACACAAATGAAGAATTTATTTTGCTATTTTAACTGAAAAAGAAAATATATATTTATAATCTGAGCTGATCTAATAATGTGCATATAATGTGTCTTTTTTAATATAACATAAATTTGAATATTACAAGAACTAAATCTATTGGCCCTTTTCTAATGGAAATATGTACTAAACAAATGACTAAACCATGGCAAGATTACAACATCTATTTTAAGAACAGCATTTTAGCTGCCCTTCATCTGTTTATATTATTATCGGCCTATAAAATGTGACGTCATCTGAAATCCAAGGCTGCGTTCTGGAAAACTGCCCTGGCTCTTTCTTCTTTTTTCTTCTCAGAAAATCTAACTTCCATGAACAACTAAAAAATTATTTCAGTTTATTTTGACAAATACTTAGGTAGTGAATGCTGATGGACCATAAACAACAGGATTTAAATCACAAAATAAGTCAAAGCAGACATGTTAAGGGACATATTTTCACAGATCAGACTTACAGTATTTTCCTTTACTTTTGAGTCTGTTATTTTAAATGCCTGACAGGCTATAGACACCAAACCACTGTATTCACCACTCACTATTCAAAGCACTCTGACAACAATTATGCAGCTGACAATTTCTTGCATCCTTGGAGATTACAATCTTTTTTGAATTGATTCCACAATATGAGTAGGAAACAAACAAATATAGATTTTTCTAGACGAAGGTGCCAATTGCTTTTGCGGGTAGATCAATTTGAGTATATTGCTATTAAACACCACTTAGTCATCAAGGGCTTTACGGGACTATTTTACAATGAGAATAGATTAAATTCCAGGTAAGGAGGCACAACAAGATGGAAAACGGTTGAGTGCAATCTGATGCCATTGTATAGGAATATGCCTATAATCAGCTCTATATTATTAGCTCAAGCACAACCGCTGTAAAGTAATATCTTGTTTGTGTTTTCATTATTGATTAGGGTTCCTGATTAATGGTTGATTTTCAGTACAATATTCACACTTCACACCTCTCATTCCCCTGCTTATTACAGAGTCATTAAGAGTTGATGTAGTCTATACTTAACTATACTATAACTTTAAAGTAGCTCAGAGTTGCAGTTACACCCTGACATGGTAAACAGGCTTAAACTGATCTGTGCAGCCGCATGTACCCACACGCACTGTGCAAATGGTATGAGCAGACCCATTCATTTTACAGCTTTCATATGAGAAGCCCTTATTGAAAACATATTTTCCACAATGACATGTCTGTGACTAGACTTTAATTATCGCTTGGAATAAGCTGAGAAAGTAAACAAAAGTATTCTACAGCGCAAGCAAGTTAATACAGTTTATACAGTTAACACAGTATTGATTATTAAATCAGGAGAATGAAAATTACATCATAAAGATCTTGAGGGAGCAATAAGGATGGATAGAAAACTGTTTTGGGGAACTAGTTTGCATGGTTAGCTTAGTTTCAATGTACATATAGGGAATATTTATCTCAATATATTTTAATAACTATCCTGATGGCAGCATTCACCATTCACAATATTATGAAAATCCATCAGACATGCCTGTAAGCAGCTTGGTTGAGGTTCAAATATACTGTCCAAATGGGCGGAAATATCACCTTGTTCCTGGTTTTAAAGCTTGCACTGAATTTTGTAATAAGGGGTTTTATTTATAAAAATGTTACAAAAATGTTATATACATGACATTCTACGTTAAGTTTGTGACCTATGAAAAGACGATGTAAAAATAATGTAAAAATGTGGTCTGGTCCAAAAATTTTAAATCTGTGTGTTTCAGACATGAGACAGAAGGGAATCTGTGCTTAGAGAAACAAGGAACTAGCAAATCTAAGTTTTGTCTTGTTCCTACATATATTTTCAGTAAGAATTCTATGTTAAGTTTTATAAATGAAGCCCCAGCTCCTTCTGTAGCCTTTTGAACAGTTTATTTTCTTATTATATTATAATGAGACCATTACACAGGCCAGCCCTTAAGCCTGTAGGCCTAGTGTGACTGCATATGTATAACCTAAGAATATGTACATCAATAAAGGTTTAAAGGCTCATAAAACATCTTAAACTATAAAGAGTAATAATTTTCTGACCACTATGTTGCATTACGGGATTCTTGGAGAAACCACATCCTAATCTGACCATAGCATTTTGAGTAGCATTATTCAATACCATTAGCATAGGTTTATTGTTTTGCAGGTCTGTAAACAGCATCAACAGAAAAGGGACGGTTCTCTCACAGTCGACACCATTTGGGCACTTGAAACCCCGCAGCCCTCATCTCGGACCCAACTAGATGTAAATAATGATATCACAGGCATAGCAGTAACCGATCCTCCACGCCACGCTGCCAATGAAAGCCATTGTTCGAATGTAGCACAGTTAATTAAAGCGAGGGCGCCACTTTACATCTGTCTCTTCACTTGGCAGATCCTTTAATTATATATTTTGGTCAATCTGTTCTTCCCGATGTGAGAGGGGATGCCATACATGAGACAACATCTGCCGAGGTATGTCACACGACTTCCAACATCTGGCCGTGTTTTTGCACCGGCTGTCAATCATGCGCATTGCATCTCATACGAATTTATGTTCCCGTACAAAGGCTGAGAGCTTACATCTGGCCACGCTTACAATGAATACTTTTTTTTCTCTAAGCAGACAAACACATTAGATTGGCACTACACACAGGGATCCAGGCACACCCCGTGGTTCGCAGTCATTTCGGTCCCTTATATTGTCCATCACAGAGACACTGGCGACTGTTCAGTACCACATAAGCTCCACCCACCTACGGCTGTGATCACCTCAGCTGTCAGGTGGCATCTGCTCAAACCCCCAGCCAACAACTGTGTGCATTGCTCCTCTGGAAAAAAGAGACACCTACACGTGTTTACAGCTGTATATTTTTACGACTTCTATTTTTGCTAATTGTTCTGGTGTAAAGTTTGCCTGTAAAATCCACAGGGGGGTGTCAGGCTGCTTTGCACGGTGTGACATGGGAGCATCTTTAAAGGCAGTGTCTGACTTGTCAAGGTCCAAAACAGATGACATACAATTGCTGTCGCTGTTATAACACATAGCTGCTTTTGAACACAATACTGTCAACAAGAATACAGCAGTGTTAGAAATAATCAATAATGACATGATTGCTTAGCTGTGGATGAAGCCAGCAGTGGTTTTGAGTATAATGAAAAGATGCTATTCAAGAAGACATAATGAAACTATAGGGGGAGTGCAGAACTACAGAGCTTGGCCTTGATTTTTTGTTACAAATTACACGAGCATACATAAGTGATAGCATCTAAGCAGAGAACTGCCATTTTCAGTGCGACATAAAAGTTCTAGAAACCAACTGTTTGAGTTTGTCTGGTTCCCTGAGAAAAGCAACAGTAGTAAAAATGAACGAGCATCTACAGACCTTATGCCAAAATATGTACGGTATTAGCTAAAAGCTTATAGCACCCAGCAGATCAGGCAGATGTTCTCCTTTGCACTAGAGAAAAGTGGAGACTCATTTACTAAAAGGCTATGTGTGTGTATATTTTAATATTATGTCATATTTTTCACCTGCCAACATTACTGACGCAAATATGAAAATACTAGAGCATAACTAACCCACCTACCTATCTGTGCAATGCAAATTGCTACTATAGAACTGTAGGACAGGCCAAGATGTAGGAGGAATTCGCACACAGTCATCCAAACACAAACTAATGCGGTCAGGGATGCACGTGCATACACTGTCGGATGACACAGAAACCTAGAGACACAGTAGCTCTCTATCCCTAGACGCAACAATATCTCCTGTTCGTAATCCCTGGGAGTCTATTAATATTTCTGTTTCCATGGCGATCTGAGCCTTGCCAAATGTTGTAGTGATAAGAGGAGATAAGAGCAGAAGGAGCGGGGAGATAAGAGCAAGTGACCTGCAGAGATCACAGGACGAAGGGTCAGGCACCAGAGCAACACTGCGCGCACCTTCAACACTGGGTTTACCGCTAACCCCAGGACACACGCAGCAAGGACAGCTGCATCTAGACTTTACCAACTACTCAAATGGGAAACTTTCCAGGCATTTTGCTAAGAAGAAAACTTAGAGACTGTAATTTTTTATATTAGTATTTGTATTCAAAATATAAAAATACAAAAAATATATATACAAACTAATAGCAGTATAGACAAAGAGACTACAGTAAGATAATATTTCAAAAGGTAGAATAGAAAATGAATGATGTAAAATCAACTAAGTTTGAAGCTTGAATAAGCCTTGAAAGCATTTATTCATTATTAGACTGTGGCATGAAACAGAGAGAGCGCTAATATATTACTGTATTTCTGCTTTCTGATATTGGATGAGGACTGTGGTATGTCTGTGTTATTACAGAAAAATTAAATGTCACCTTGGAAACATCACATATTAACAGCCAGAATAGATGCACTGTACTATATAAAAGCCTTTAATCTGAGAGCCTGCTTGTCTGCGCTCTACTGTGTGTCTAGTCTTACCTGCTTGTTGTACTTCTGCGTGCCTGTCTTGTAGCTGTAATCGGAGTACTGGTCTGAGCCAGTGGAGTTGTCGTCTCCTCCTGTTCCGACAAAGGTGTTGGCGGCGGGCAGGTCCTGCACGGCCTGGTGCTTCTGAGAGGCTGAGGGCGACTGGGCCTGCAGTTGGATGGAGGGCAGGGGGGAGTTGGAGCGGTAATGCCGGCCTATGTCGGGGCTGCCCGGTGAATATGTCAGGGGCAGGTGTATTCTCGGGCTATCGTTGACTCCATCTAGATTGAACTTTAAACTCTTTTGAAGACTGACTTCTTCGTCCTCACCCAGTGGTTTAGTAGACTTCTGGGGCTTCCCCTTTCTGCCTCGTTTGCCTTTGGTGTTCTTGGGTACCTGCTTGGGTGCATACAAGTCTTTTGTCTCCTTCTTGCCTGCCTGGTAGCCACTCTTAGTCTCTCTCTGAATGCGGTGGCGGATAAAAACAACCACCAAAATCAGCATGACAACACCTGCCACACCAGCGAGACTCCCAAACAAAATATTGCTTCGCTGTGCAGCAAATCCATTGTCAGGATCACCTGCAATGTCTCTGTCCAGTGGAGTGTAAAGGCTGTGCCCGACCAAGGCCTCCACTAAGCTGACATTTGAAATGGTCTCGTTCACATAGATGTGCACCAGTGCAGTGGCATGGCGTGCTGGCTTTCCCCGGTCACTCACTCGGACTACTAAGCGATGCAGTCCGCCGTGCTTTCGGGTCATCTCTTTTGCTAGAGTGATTTCTCCGCTGGTGGGGGAGATGCGGAATAACTGATAAGGATTACCTCCAGCAATGCTAAAAACCAAGTCCGCATTAGGCCCATTGTCCAAATCCTCAGCTTCCACTATCTCTACATGACTATCAGGGGAAGCCAGCGGAGACAAGCGCCGGAAAGAGGAATTAGAGGGCTTTGTGACAACTGGATCATTATCATTTTCATCAAGAACATTAATAGTGACTCCGACATATGAGGACCTAGGGGGCTCTCCTCCATCCACTGCTTTAAGCCTAAAAGTGTAACTACTTTCTTTCTCTCTGTCAAATGAAATGCTAGAGAGGATGGTGCCTGTTCCATTTTGCACTACAAACTTCCCCCCATCTGGCTCCACAGAGAGGTGGATATGAGCATTTTCACCTTTGTCCACATCCATGACTGTCACCATGCCAACCGGGCTGAGAGGAGGCATGTTTTCCAACACTGAAAAGCTATAGCCACTAAGCATGAACTTGGGGTCATTATCATTACGGTCGAGGACTTTTATGACAACTGTAGCTGTCCCTTTGTGCACAGGGGAGCCCTTATCAGCAGCAGTCACTCTAAATTCATACCTCTCTTTGTGTTCACGATCTAGAGGGCTCCTGGCTCGCACCTCTCCGGTGTTGGGATCGATTTCAAACAGACCTTTGATGGATGAGTCTCCCAAAATGTTATAGACAAGCTCCGCATTAGTGCCACTGTCTGCGTCTGAGGCGGTAACATCCAAAACCTTTTCACCGGACTGGTTCTCTTCAGCAAACTCCACTTCGAACAACGTCGGGGAAAATATTGGAGAATTATCGTTCACATCCGTCACTTGGACTTTGAGAGAATTCGTACTTGACAGAGCAGGGTTTCCGGAGTCGACAGCCACAATTTCAACTCTGTAGTCTCGAACTCTTTCATAATCAAGAGGAGTAGTGGTTTGGAGGAAGTATTTTCTCTTATTGTCACTGGACGAATCACTGGCCGGACGCAACTGAAATGGCACATCTCCGGCGACCACACAAGTCACCACTGCATTCTCCCCTTCATCTTTGTCGGACACTTGCACCAAAGCCACAGCCGTACCAACTGGCATGTCCTCGGAAATATTGGCCATCCCCTCACTGTGAGTCACCAAACCAATTCCCCGAATCTCCACGGCTGGAGCATTGTCGTTCTGGTCAGTCACTTCGATGGTGACGAATGTTTTAGAACTCTTAGGTTGAGGGCCCTTATCTTTGGCCACCACGTAGAATGACAAGCTGCTGATTTCCTCCCTGTCCAGTGGACCTTTGACATAGATTACGCCACTGGAGCGATCGATGCGCAGCAGCCTGGGAACAGGGTCCACTGCCTGGTGAAGGGTGTACTCGATTTCTCCATTGGGGCCCATGTCAGAGTCGTTTGCTTTGACCTGGAACCAGAATGAGGGTGTGTGGTTAGGGGTGATAGATCAAACATTCACAAGAAAATAATAAGAATTTTATAAAACTTTAAATTTGACAAAATAATCTAAAGACACCTTCAATGATGTAATCCTATTCACTGTTCTTCACTGACAAACTTTTTCCTTATAGCTTTTTATTTTCTTTAAGATACTGACTAAAGCAAAACTTACAGTTGATTAAGTAGGAACTTGAGTGATTATGATACTAAATGAGCAAATTTTCTGGTTGAGGGTCAATTACTCTTTTATTTCTAAGATAAGAATAACATATACAACAGCAAATGAGACAGAAGCGTAATGCCATACTTTAGAAACTAGAAGTTTATCTCCACAAATACAATTGTGTAATCACCTTTACCAGAGACCTGACCCAGTGTGTATATATTTTTTCAATCTAGTCTTGATCTTTTGATGTAGTTTGACACAACATGTATGTTTTATTTAGTTTTATTTATAGGAGACATTGACTTCATATTCTACTGGACTTCTAAATATTACATACAGAAAGTGAGAGAGCTTTGTCAAGTCTTGCAACAGAATTGATAAATCTGAACTGAACTCAGCAGGGAACTGGCTTTCATGTACAGGTGTATTTTAAAACTACTGTTATTTCTGTCTGCATTTTTTTCTCTCTGATTTCCTTTTATGTGGTTAAATGCCCTAGTGGAAATGTTCAATAGCAAGTATAAGCAAGATATTTGGGCAGCTCAAATTCTCCCAAGAGGATTTTACTCCCACACTCGCATATATGTCTGTCATCATTTTGCCACTATAATAGAGTATAAGTGATAAGCGGCGCATGCACCAGTTATGCTTTAATTCAATAATTCAAGCAGAAGTCCCTTTTTAAAATTAGAGATGTAGAGCTGTGCATTACTCAATTTAAAATTCAGACACATGAGTCAACAAGAGCTGCGGCCTTGGTTTAGCAACAGCTGAATACTGATGAATAGTTTAGGGATTCTGAGGCTATATGTTGTGCTGTGTATGTCTGTCACACGTTGCGAGACTGAGTTGGGTCAGCTCTAACACAAAATAGTCCTTATACAAATTTTCACTGTTGTTTTTGTATTTGTTATTTATGTCAAATGTAAAGTAATTAATTAAAATTCCAATTTCAATGAGTCATTACTACAGTTATATTATTCTTTGGCTACTAGGCTACACTGGACTAAATCATACAAGGTGAAATGTTCTGAGAAGTGGAGAGCAACATTTGTCTCTGTTGAGTCATGACTCAAAAGACAAGTTGCCCTGCATGTAGACTGCAAACCCAACCCCTAGGCCATCTGCTAGGGCAGTTATAAGTATTTCAGTATTACCTGCAGCACAGAGTGGCCCATTGGACTGTTCTCCGAGACTTCAGCTTCATAAGTAGACTTTTCAAACTTGGGAGAGTTGTCATTTGCATCAGTCACGACCACTCTGAGCAGGGCACTGCTGTAGCGCTGCGGGTTCCCTCCATCCACTGCTTTAATGGTGAGATCATAGGAATCCTTTAGCTCCCGGTCTAGGTTGCCCAGAACAATGAGCTGTGGCAGCTTCTCTCCTCTGTCCTCAGCCACTTGTAAACCAAATAGAGTGGCAGCGTCCAGCCCTGCAGTCAGGGCATAATCGGCCACTCCGTTTCTCTCCGAGTCCCTGTCGGTGGCAAGAGGGATGGAGAAGAGCGCTCCCATCATGGTGTTTTCAGGCACAGAGATGGTGAGCACAGAAGAGGGAAATTGCGGGGTGTTGTCATTGATGTCCTGCACCTCGATGCGTCCCTCGATGAGTCTGGGGCTCTGGTTCTGAATCAGGTCAGTCACTGACACTTCAAACTCCAAGTAGCACAGCTTCCCCTTGAGCAGAGTGCGGCAGTCCTTCAGCGTCTCTCGGTCTATGGGGATCTCAGTGGTGAAAATATCTCCTGTCTTTCCATCCACACGCAGGTAGGGGGCGCCCACCTCCAGTTTGTACAGATGCCCCGAGTCTGGCAGGCCCTGGTCTGCGGCCAAACTGCCGATCAGGGTGTTGGGCGGCTGCTCTTCGGGCACTCTGTACAGGATACTGCCTCTGACCGCTCCCCGCAGCAGCAGCAGCGCACACAGCACAAGGCCACACTGGAGGTCCATTAGGTCATCAGAATGTCTGCCTGCAAAATAACAAGTGTCTGTTAGAACACTGAGCCCAAGGAATACATCATGCTTCATAGTAATTATTTAAGTACAAATGAAGAGGGAAATAACAGGACTGTGCTGGTGCTGAAGGCTAAACAAATAATTTACCCACAGAAAAAGGTCTGTCTTCATTTTATTATATACTAGGGCTAAGGCAGTAAAATTAACTGTATTTGTCAATACATTGTACCAACCTACAGCAAGCCTGTGAGCGCCGCATAATAATTAAACAAGAAGAACAACAAAGGGAAAGAGGATTCTTTAAAAAAATACAATCACTGCAATAACACAGCATGGTTTCCGTTTTATCCCTAAGCTTCAGTAACTTCAATGGATGTCTCAGCCTTTACAAATTTCTGTTGGAAAAAGAAATTATATCTTGTGTGCTTGCACAAAACAAACTTGAGGGCCGATGTGGATTGTTGCAGCTGCCTAATCAAATAAAAATGTAATATAAAATCTTGGAGATCCCATATAGCCTGGGAGACTCATTATTTGAATATTACACTGCACATTTAGCGGAAACTAATGTAGCCTAAAATAATGTATAGTTTACAGAATATCCTCACCAAATCTGTATAAATAAAGACAGAAATGAGCCATCCAAAGCTGCTTTATCGTTACAGAGGTGGCAGAACAATACAAGCTCCAGCACTAAGGGCCATAAAGCCAATGAGGCTATTCCTCATCATGCAAATAGTGCAACTCAGCCATTATCAGTCTGCAACAATGCACTACACAGAGCGCCCTGCACCCCCTGCTACTGGCTAACTTAAACACTCTAATCTTTGTGTTTGATTTTGAACCTTTCAACTCTGTAATTATAAGCCATTATTTGACGGTCTTCTTTGATCAGGATTCCCTACAGCTAAAGAAATGTGCCTTTTTTCATGCTGGAACAATTTAAACCATAATTTCCTCAGTGTGAGAGTGCTCCGTGTGAGTGAGAGAAAGTGCTGAGTTTTATTGGTAATTAAAATGGGAACAGACAGTGAGGTTAAATATCAAGGTTCAATTCTCTGGGTACATGTGGCGGCTATATTTTATACTTGTTTTAAATATGACCAATGATTCAATAGATGGCTTTTTCTGTTGTATTGTACTTGATATAAAAAGGTGCAGAAATCTTAACATTCATTTGCGTGGGCAGTGTGAAGTCCACAACTGTTCTGGTCTTATGTTTCACTACAGACAGCAGCATGTTACAATCAATTCTCTATTGATTTTCAGCTCAACCACTTGCTGCACTGCTTGTATTTTCAAGCATCCATTGTAATGTTATATGTCATGCTATAGGGTACTTTTGACTACTCCTATTACCTACGTGAAGGTGTTAAATGTGAATTAAGTGAATATTGTTTCATCTGTTAATGGTACATGATGGAACATTTTTGGTGGGAGGTCCATCATCTGTGTGTCTCTAAGGAGATATTTTTGCTTGTTATGTGGTCATTAATAAATAAATCTGATTCAGATTTTTGAAGGTTTTAGAGCAATAAAATGTATGTAGGATTACGCTTTTACTGCTGTATTGTGGTACATTTCATGCAAAGCCTTGATCTTGATCTCCATGAGTCAGCAGATGGCAGCCCCTAGCAGAAAAGTTACCTCGTGCATTTAAACTTTTTTTTTCTTTAAAAATTTAAACACATTGGCACGGCAATTGTCCCGTGAGGATTATTAGACAAATTGAAGTCTGGCAAAATTATATGTATTAAAAAATAGATAATATCTGTAGCCAGAAAGACAAGTGTCTCAATAAAGAAGGGAGAGAAGTTAACTGCTATAGAGTTTCCTGCTTTAAAATACTTTACATTTAAAACTGTTAGCAAATCTGACTAAATCTCAATGTGCTCTCCAACCTTATGTTCATATTTGCAAGCTCCCTGTAGCTCTTAATGGTAAACCACAACAACAACTGTGATCACACGGGTACTTTAACTATGAAACTGAACATACTTCAGGCATCTTCCAGGCATGTCTCCTACTGGCTTTTTCTACTTCGCACCATGCTCTTAAAATACACCATACATCCAGGCTCCAAAGAAAGCAAATGCAAATGAGTACTTTTAAAGACCATTTACCTCATATATGACTATTGGGGTTATCAAAAGTATCAAAACCCAGGTACTAAACGATGCTAAAATTAGTATCAAAACTAGATTCTCATTCAATAATATCAAAATCATGTTTTACATTTTAATATTGTGACAACTAGGTCTATCATGATAAATACTATATCGTTCAGTGTTTGGAATTAACTGAATACATGTACAGTAATTGTATTCCAGTACATTACTTTTTCATTTGGTGGTATTCGTAATAAAGTTACTTTTCTAAAAATCAAAGGAATACATTATTTGATCGTGTAATTTAGGCTTCAAACTGCACCCAATCAGTGATAAAAATAGACAGCTCTGCTCTTGTGGTGAGGGCATGTGTGATTTTTCCATCTCCAATTAGTGATAGAAAATGCATAAAAAATTGTGAAACAAACATAAGATGTTATGTTGCACCTTTACACTATTATCTAAATGCAACTCAGTGTAAAAGTATTCCATGTATTCAGAATACAGTACTCAGATTGGATCATGTATCAGAATATGACACAAATTACATTTTAATGCAGGTATTCTGTATTCTCTCAATATATGAAAGGTGGAACTATATTTTGGGGGGTTCGACAACATGCACACTTTTTCTTTGTACTATGACTCATACAGATGCAACTTAAGTACTAAAGTGTTTCATTCTGCTGTTTATTTATTGCAGCTCATGATTTATTTATTCATTTTTTTATTTTTATTTTTTTTTACAATATTGTTCATTCAGAATAGTTTTTGTAGCGTAAATTTGTTCTTGGGTTTTTGAGTCAGTGGCAAAAATTAAGTACAATATCATCATTTATTGTCTGTATTTTTAAGCAATACATCACACTTCAAAATGTGTTATTGTTGGTGACAGGTCAAGTGACAACACTGCACACTACAATACAGTTAACACATGTGCAAGAGTGCAATGGGGGCAGCCTATATGTGAAATTATCACTGAGCCTGAATGAGTACATTGTGCATCACAGGAAGCAATGTTCCAAAGCACTGCAAAACCAAATGTGTGTAGAAAAAGTTGAGTCATGAATCCTGAATATTCCCCAATCCAATCCAATAAAATATCCAATTTCTTGTGAATACATTAAAAATGGAAGTGCTGGTTATTGATGCACTAATTGCTTAGTTATCGACGTGGTCCTTTTTACATTTGCAGGGGGAGTGTGTGGTCAATGTGGCGGAAATGGGGACTGTGTGCTTTGTGTGTTCATGTGTGACAGAGGAAAGGGCAGCAGGAGCCAAAAGATTATCCCTGGATAGAATTTAAAAAAAAAAAAAAAAAAAAAAAACACCTTCCTCATACACACCTGCTATTGATTTTGTGGTACTGGTAAAGTGGTCGGTTATAGGAAACAAACAGACAGAAAGACCTATTCAGATTTGTACATTTAATTTAAAAAGTGGATTTGACAAAATTCTTAAAGATCCTATATTACGCAAAATGGATTTTTGTGAGCTTTAACCCATGTTATAATGTTATCTCCTCAAAAATACCCAGAGCTGTGTTGTTTCATTCGCTCATGTTTGAGTAATCCTTTATTACTAATGTGTCTACATCTCTAAAGCTCAAAATGCTCTGTTCCACCTTGTGATGTCAACACCATAAACTACCACTTATCTTTAGTTCAGAAGAGACTGGCAATTCTTGGGCTGATATGATCCAAATGATTCTAGTAAAGTATATGGAATTTAAATACACAGTGAAGCACTTCCTGTATTACAACATCACCTCACAGGAACAGAGTGTTTACTGGTTTCTGAGAGAAGAACACAGCTTAAATATGCAGGATTTGTGTGTTTTTGATGAGGAAATTACATTATAACATAGATTAGAAATGAGCGGAGTATGGCCCATTTTAAAAAGCCATAAATAAGATCACATTGTATTACTTTAAAATTAGTCTGTATACAATTACGCTGTAAATAGTGTTCACAGTCCATTTCCAAGGCTAGAATACTCCTCACATGCTTTATATTTAGCTGACTTGCCAATACACACTAAAGTTAATCAGATCCTCATTTAATTTTAAAGGCTGATTAAATGCCTGTTTCATATTTTCTTTTGCACATTATCAACATCATCTCAGGTATAAGAATGACAAAAATGAAATAATTGTTACAGGGTGGCAAATTGTTTACCATAATTCAATTAAGTATTTCTTGCCATGTATAATAATTACATAATCTAATACTTATTGTTTCTCTTCCTGAAAACTGACTGTATCCACCATATGCTTTTAAAAAACAAACCTTTTTAATGCCATAATGGAGTGTTTACCCACAACTGTCCCTTGCCCATTATAGCCGATTGGAGAATGAATGGGCATGCTATTGTAGTGACATGATTGTTATGGTTGATGACACTCATGACTTAATGTCTTCCAGTTGGCCTCATGCCTGTCTTCCAGATGGCTCCGTGCCTGGCAGCCAAAGCAAATTCTGTGCTCTTTTGTTTTTTTCTCTTTTTCTTTTGTCTTGTTTACATTTACACATTAAAATTCAGGCTCCTTCTCAAATCCTAGGTTTTAGCCATTAGTCTGTGTGAATTCCTTATCTGAAGAGTATACTGACACCCGGTCTTAGCGGTGTTACCTGCAAAGCTGAGCGATCCCAGAAATATTTTATCAAAAACCCTGGACAGCATCAAATGTCTTTCCCCCTTCTCAGAGCAGCTTAAAGTGGGACTAACTTGTGGTGAGTTTTTTAAAGCAAGAGGGATGAGAGACTTTCTGTGTGTCTGCTATAGGTCCACTACCTGAGAAGCAAAACGGATGATTTAGAACTGCTGAACACAACCAGGAATGACATTTCCAGCATCTCAGCGCTTTTGCACTAAAAAACTTGGTTATCATC